CGAATGCCCCTCTCCCGCTGTCTGCATCCTCCTTCCCCAGCACGGGGAGAGTCAGCCGCACTTGCTCTTTGCAAACAGGGTTGCCAGGGGTCCGGGTCTGAACCGGACAGTCCAGTGTTTGAGCTTTCTGTTCGGGACACAAATTGAGACAATAGAAATGAGACAATAGAACTGTCCGGTGTTTTCTAACTCCGATGGATTGTAGATTGTGATGTCATGTCAAGTGTGTCCGGTATTTTTGTTGAAACCATCTGGCAACCCTATGCAAACATTGGCCCCCCAATGCAACAGTAGCAGGGCAGCCGGCCCTCTCTGCAGCGCGTTGTCTGGGCTGCATTTCAGTGATCTAGGGGAGCTGGGATCAGCTGGCTGCTGTGAGGTCTGCCTGCCCTGAGAGTACCAGAGTCAGGGCTCCTGGGGTCCCCAATCCCTTGCAGGCAGCTGTGGGGTATGAGTTGGAAGCCCCCTGGGGAAGGGCAGCCGGGGGTGCCCGATACGGAGGGTTCTTACGGCAAGGGCAGTGGGGAGGAACAGCATTGCGTGCGTTTGTGCTGATACCGCCTGTGCTGTTCTCGCCGGGAGGCGTCGGACCTGCCACCCCGCTGCCCCGCCGCTGGCTCCTGGGTCGGGCAGCGTCCAGCAGCTGCAGCTCACACTTGTGTAGGGAGGGGGACCGGGCCAGGGGACAGACCCAACCTCTCTCCAAGGGAAACCATTGTGGGTTCTGTCGTGCCCACATGCAGCCACCAGGGGGTGACGTCTCCGCTCCGCAAGGGAACAGCGAAACGAGAGAAATTCAGCCCCTTGGGCAGGGGTAGCAGTCGGGAGGTGCAAGGCCGCGCTGTGCCCCTGCCAAAGTGCCACTTGATAAAGGGGGCGCCGCCTCGTGCCCCCTCGCGGCGCTCTCTGCACCCCCTCCCCCCAATGCACGCCAGCCTGGAGGAGCAGTCAAGGTGCCCTTACAAGCTTTATGCTGCCCGCTCACGGTGCCCATCTGGTTAGCAGGACAGCGGTGCTCGTGCTCCCGGGTTAGCCGACACCTGGGCTTCAAAGGCAGAAACCCACGTGGTTCTTTCCCTTCTCGCTGAGTAACACTCCCCTTCTGCAGGTTCCCGGGGGCCTCAAGTGGGGATCCGTGTCTCTGACCAAACAGTGTGAATTGTTTCGGGGGTCCCCGTGTTAGGGGCCTGTGGCACCGTGGAGGCTAACAAAACGATATAGACTCACGAGCTTCCGTGGGCAAAGCCCACTTCTTCCGATGAGCTTGAGTGGAGGAAAAAAGGGGGACTCTCGGGCTACGGTTACACTGCCTCTTTTTGGCAGAAGAGGCAATGCAAATTAAGCGCTCGTTAGCAACTTCTTGCGCTTCATTTGCATAGTCTTTTCCGATGCTTTTTGCGCAAGAGGTTTTTGCACAAAAACAAGCCATGTAGAGGGATCCGTTTTGCGCAAAAGGGGTGTACAGATCAAAAAAGGAGGGATACAGATCTTGTGCCAAACGGACCCGTCTACACGGCTTGTTTTTGCACAAAAAGCATTGGAAGAGACTATGCAAATGAAGTGCGAGAAGTTGCTAATGAGCGCTTCATTAGCATACTCTCTGCTGGCAAAAGAGGCAGCTGTAGACTTAGCCTCAGACTTTATAACAGAAAAAGAGGGCGGGGAAGTACAGTCAGTTGTGCCTGAGCTAATGAGGCAAATTGAGTGGGCTGGAAGTGACTCAGACTTACCTTTTGATGTCGGTGAGGTGGTGAATGTAAGGAAAGCTGGTCTGAGAACGGCCCATCCAGCTCAGTTGCTGTAGCCAGACACATAGACAATGAATGGGACTGTATTTAAGGCTGGAAGGAGTTGATATTTATCAGTGAATATTGGTTAAGGTCAGTTTCACTGTGCGCGCACGCACACACACACGGATGAAACAGATAGTCCATCAATAATAACAATGTTTACACATGGGCAAAGTGAATAAAAAGCTGCTTGAGAACTTACTGGAGTTTGATTTAGGAATCTCTCCCGTGGTCTATTTTGACGTGATATTGTCAGTGTGTTCTTTAACAGCTACAAAGCTCTAACTTCCTGACACTCAGCAGCCGCTGTCTTTACATGGTTATTGCCTGGCCTCCCATTGTGCACCACCCTCATAATTTCCTGCAGCTAAGAACACTGAAATCAATTAAAATAATAAAAAGCGTTCAACATAAACATTGATCTTATCTGCCTAAATTAAGAGGAAAAATTGAATTGTGTCGCGCTGGAGTAGCACGGGGGCTGTCCAGCAGACGAGGGGAGTTCTGAACCATTCTCAGTCCAGGGGAGGTGAAATGCACTTGGCATCTCTGTAAGCCTTGCAGCGGGGGAATTGCTGAAGCTGGGTGTGGACTGTGGAACATGCATTAGTTACAGTATCTGTGCAGTCCTGTGGCTCTCCCTGGCCACACGTCACCGCTCAGGCACTACTGAGTTCTCCGAAACCCTTCACTTCTGCTGCTGCAGACGCCAGAGGTCGGGGCAGAGGCTCGTTCCGTGCTGTGAATGCCACGAGTCTCCTTATGGGAAGCGCCAAAGATTTTGTCTTAACCTGGGTATCATGAGGATCAGAGGGATCGTCTCCCTGTTTGGAACTGGGGCCTGGGGAGGGCCGAGGCTGGGGGAGCCGAGCTCAGAAAAGGGGCTTGTGTCGCTCTCCCCCAGCTAATATGCAGAACGGGGGCAGGAGCGGCTGGGGCAGGACAGGACTCCTTTGGGGCAGGATGGGAGGAAGCGGGTGAGGGAAATATGGCTTTCGCACCATTAGTGGAACTACCATCTCCTCTGCACTCCAGGGCTGTGGGCAATGTTCCCTCTAATTTTTTCCATCTTGGTTAAATAAATTTTGTTATGTGCACTGAGGCATGTGCAGATGTGCACCACCCGGGGAAACACATGCTGCCGGCTGTGGCGCCCTGCTAATCAGCTGGGTGGCATTTGACTCTCTTGGGTGGCTGCCTAAGCACTCCGCTTACAGGGAACACTGGCTGTGGGACCAGGGGGGCAGGAGCAGGGGTCAGCCCCTCCGCTCCCGCACTCAGCGGTGTCGTCGGGAAGCAGAGCGGCCTGGTCCCAGCCCACAATGCGCCGCGTCGCTCAGGGGCTTGGGGAAAGGGGTGGAATGGAGGTGGGGCAGGGCCAGGAAGAAGTGGGGCGGAGTGGGGGGTGATTTTGGGCCCTGCACCTCCATAGGGAAGGCCCTGCTGGGCGCAGTCCGCAGTAGGGGGAAGGGGCTGGCCAAAGGATGTGGCTGGAGCTGGCACCTCCCCATGTGCAGCTGCCTAGGGCACCA